CGTAATGAAATTGTACTTTGTAAAGTTGTTACCACCTCATAGTGACTAGAAAAATAAATGTAACTCATTTTGTTACAAGAAAAATAAACACATGTGTCGTGGTTTAAACCCAGTCAGGTAACTCGTTCACTCACTCCCCCCCTTCTTTCCCTCCCCCTACTCCCAGAGGGACAGAGAGGAGAATTTGAAAGAATGCAACTCCCACGGGTTGAGATAAGAACAGTTTAGTAACTAAGGTATAACACAAATCACTACTGCTACCACCAATAATAACAATGATAAAGGAAATAACAAGGGAAGAGAATACAACATCTCACCACCAGCTGACCGAAAACATGCGCCCCCACCAGCCCGACCAAGCACTGACCGATGCCTCCTCCAACCCCACAGTCTCCCAGCCCTTCCGGGTAACTCCCAGTTACATCCTGGGCATGACGTGCTGTGGTATGGAATACCTCTTTGGCCAGTTTAGGTCAGGTGTCCTGTCTCTGCTTCCTCCCGGCTTCCCCTCCTCCCTGGCAGAGCATGAGGCTCACAAAGTCCTTGGCCAAACCAAAACATCATTGTTATCAGCTCTGTTCCCAGGCCGAAAGTCAAAACACTGCACTGCACCAGCTACCAAGAAGGAGAAAAATGACTGCTACTGCTGAACCCAGGACATTATCTACCCCTTATTCCATACCATTCATGTCATGCTCAGATCCCACATTTTCAATATACCATCACTCTTATCTTAGTGCATAGACCAGTCCCTATAAAGCTGCTGAATCCACCTGGTCTATGATGTCAGGCTCCACCTCTTGTAACAGTCTTCCAGAGCAGGAGAGACTGTGTGCAGTGTTCACACTTCTGAATAACCTGGGCAATAGTGTCCATTGCTAAGTCCGCCCCTCGATCATGAGTCCATCTCTGTGTTGCATTTCTGCCCTGATGTCCTGAAGTGCCATGGGCCCACCAGGCTCAAAATAATTCACTGTCCCCTTCAGCAGTTTCTGCAGCTTGTTGCTGGGGACTCCATACAGCTGCCTTCCATCTCCGACGCTTCCAAAGCACTGGAGGGGCCCAGTGGACTAGATACTTGCCCATACTGTCCCACACACCCTGCCACTCCAGCTTTGGAGCTGGAGCACTCCCTGACTGTCCAGCTTTGGGGAAAATCTCCTGGTCCTCCTATATAGTCGTCTAACCCCAGACAAGACCCAAACCTGACTCTGCTTAACTTTTGAGATCAGACAAAATGGTCATGGGTGAAACACAGTCTGTGTGTGTGCCAACATGCTGATCCCCTTCACAATCAGCAGGCAGGTCCCAAGGATACCCAAAGGCCATTCAAAACCTCCAGAACTCTCAAACGATGCTGCTGTGCTTGTCACTGGGGCTGGTGTAGCTGCTGTGCTTGCCGGCTCTCCCACCACCAGCTTCTCTTTTCCTGAGTCCAGCTCTTCCTCCTCTGCCTTGCCGGGAAATGCTGCGTGGTCTCCTGCATCCTCCTGGGGCTCGGCAGGCGGCTGCCGGGGAATGCTCTCGGCCGTCGCGGGGCTGGGCTCGGCCGCGGGGCTCGGCTCCTCCGCCGCCTTCTCCCGCTGCTCTGCAGCCGCCTCCTTCCGCTCCTCGACCGCCCCGACCTCCTCCACCGGCAGCCGTCCCCTCGCGGACTTCGGGCCCGCTCCCGCCGCCGCTTGGTCCCCGGGGCCGCTCTCCCGGGCCGCTTCAGCAGCCGCCGGCTCCCGGGGCCGCTCCCCCTCGGCTCCCCGCGGCCTCACAAAGATGGAGGCGAGGGCGAGGGCCAGGACGGTGAAGAGCAGCCGGACGGCCAGGTACAAGTCCACGGCCACGTCCGTCCCGCCCTGCTGCTGGAGCCCGCCCGTATTACAAGCCATTGCCATAAAGCACAGTGAGACAAGAACCTTAGCCCAAGGCCCACACTTCATAAACACTAACACTGCAAATACCGGCTCTGAGTGAGTTACAACATTCTGAAACTGTGAGATCGAGAGGAACAGCTCTGAGAGCCAATAAATCACCATTGTGACGAGTGACTAATTAATCCAGTCAGATCTGTCGTTATCTCAACCCCTCGAGCCCCACGTTGGGCGCCAAAAGAACTGTCGTGGTTTAAACCCAGTCAGGTAACTTGTCCACTCACTCCCCCGCTTCTTTCCCTCCCCCTACTCCCTTAGGGACAGAGAGGAGAATTGAAAAGAATGCAACTCCCACGGGTTGAGATAAGAACTGTTTAGTAACTAAGGTATAACACAAATCACTACTGCTACCACCAATAATAACAATGATAAAGGAAATAGCAAGGGAAGAGAATACAACATCTCACCACCAGCTGACCGATAACTCATGCCCCCACCAGCCCGACCAAGCTCTGACCGATGCCTCTCCAACCCCGCAGTCTCCCAGCCCTTCCGGCTAACTCCCAGTTACCTCCTGGGCATGACGTGCTGTGGTATGGAATACCTCTTTGGTCAGTTTGGGTCAGGTGTCCTGTCTCTGCTTCCTCCTGGCTTCCCCTCCTCCCTGGCAGAGCATGAGGCTCACAAAGTCCTTGGCCAAACCAAAACATCATTGTTATCAGCTCTGTTCCCAGGCCGAAAGTCAAAACACTGCACTGCACCAGCTACCAAGAAGGAGAAAAATGACTGCTACTGCTGAACCCAGGACAACATGGCATAAATTTAATCTGCCTGCCTACTACCAGATGGAGACAAAACCAGGGCCAAGTCACTGATGGCGTAACTGTTTAATCATTTATTGTTGACTTACTTATAAATACAAACAAGTCCATCCGCACCTCTGAGAACTCATCACGTTTTCTCCCAGCAAGTATTAAACTGCAAGTGCATGGCAGTTAATACCTTATTCGCAGGTTAGACAGATACATGATATAATCGTGAAATAGCAAGGAAACGTCTTTATCACTACTGGCTTATGTGGGTACCTGTATCATAACTATACTTGAGAGCTAAACTGTTCCATTTCATGCACTGAGAGTCTACTTCCAATTAGTTTGAAAAGTCTCATGTTTTGATGAACTTTTGTTATAAGTACTATAAATATATCATAAGTAATTCATAGCAATTTCAGCAAGATACTTACTCGGGTACAATCAATGGATGTTTTGACACTGCCTTCATAGGATAAGGGTTTGGTAAATGCCAAAGCCAGATTTTGGCTCATTTTTGGGTGCTTTAGTTCCTGTTTAATGAAATTCTTTTGTGGGATAAAAAGGATACTTGGAGGAGCAAAGAATGGTGCTTGTTTCAGAATATCCAATGTTGTCTATGGAGTGGGGAAGGGGACACGGCTACTGGACTGCTGAAGTTGAAATGCTGCCTGTAAAAAAAGGCAAATTCTACCCTTTCAAAAAAGCAGTCCAGTTGTTTGTGTCACCGTGTTGTCATTGATATGATATATCTAAGCAACCCCCACATGTTCTACAAATCAGATTGGACTCTGGGGAAATGTTAGGGAACAAGAGGAGGAGAGAGATGTGTTGGAGGGAACAGGTGGGATTGTAAAGCAAAAATACCCACACGCATTTTGTCCAGGAGTGTAGGAATGTCAGTATGTGTCTGCCTAACATTAGATGCTCCCAGGAACATGCTAAATATTTTACAATTCCTCAGTTTGTGAATTTTTCCTGACTCCTCTCCTCCCATCTCTCTTTTTTTTTTCTTTTAATGAGGGACACAAAGACAGAAAGGGAGAGGGAGGATAGGAAGAGGAAAAAAGGGAGGTAAAGCTTCAGTGATCCATCAAAGATATTACTAATACCACAGGAAGATTATCATAAACTCAACACATGCCTTTAACACCAGGGGAAAAAAAAATACATATATAAAAAAATCTTTTGTCTGAGAGTTTCCTTAGTGTTTCTGGGGTACATTTATACCACCCACCCCCCCCACCCCCCCAAATCCTATTGAAATATCAGTGTAAATTCCTGTGGAAATATCAATGTAAATATGATACCAAAACTAAGCTACAAATTTCAAAGAAAAAAGTACTTTTAGAACTACTTACCCAAGTACCTGGTAGATTTTCTATTACATAGTCTTTTGTAAGCGTTGAATGGCTTTTTGGAAAAACACACAGTAATTCAAGCAGAAATTAGAGAGCTGATGCAGTAACCACTGGGTGAGGTTCTGTGGTCTTTGCTATGCAGACAGTAGGAAGAGATTATCATAATGGTTGCTTCTGGCCTGAAATCTATGAGCCTATGAATCATGATAATGACACTGCTGCCAAGTCAATTAGCAGCATATATTCCAGGAGAAAGAATTAATTATCATACATTCACCTTCTGCTTTGACGTCCATGGAACTCTCTGTTGGGTTGTTTACCTGTGCTGGATCATTTGAGTATTTCACCCTAATCACTTCAGCTCTGGCCTCTGGACTGAGAAACCTAGAGAAACAAAGCCTTTGGCTCTCTTAAATTTTGCTGACAATAAACATAGGTATTTAAAGATTTGACATGAACTTTTCTCTCCCATAGCTATAGATATGTGGGACTGGAGGTTACTAGGATATATACAGATCATAACAATTTTTCAGGAGATCACAGACTGAAAACCTAATATGATAAAGTGTATGCTTGTGTGTGTGTATATCAGTGTCTGTAATTTGTGAATTTGAGAGAACATTACACATTTTCTCTTCATTACACGTGAAGAGGAAAATGTGTTTGCCTGCAAATAGGATTAGGGGAGGCTATTATTCTAACATTTAGGAATCTAGCACAATTTGAACACTTGCCTACTTTTTTCAGTAGCTTCTGATACACATTCAAATTACTAAGGAGTAGAAAATAACCACAGTTTAACTGTCCCATTTCATGAGCTCAATCTACCTCTGAGTGATTTGAGAAGTCTCAGGTACCAGTTTTGATGACCTTCACAAGGTACGTCAGACATTATCAGATCATCGAGTGCAGTGGGTCTGTGAGTGCTACCAATCCTGTGTCTCAAATAAGCAGCTCCACAGTCTTACCTGGACCTCTGAAACACCTCTCACTTTTCTACTCCAACCTCCAAAAAGATTCTTGAGTGTTCCAAAGGCTGCACTCTTGATGAAGAAAAGATAAATTATTATAACTTTTACCACTTACAAGGGAACCACTTTTTTCCTTCTTTCTTTTTTTTTTTTTTTTTAAATTCCTGCTCTTTTAAGGAGGAATGATTTTGTTCTTCGTGGATCTGCACAAAGCTCCCTATGGTGAACTCCAGCAAAGTTATGAGTAAGGAGGATATGCAAGGGTTCTGGCTCCTCTCAGATTAAATAAATGGATCTATAACAGATGAATAATTACAGGGATAACTATTAACCAATCTTAGTAACACTTAGCTCTTCCAAAATTGTCATGAAGGGGTATTCTGGCACACTATGTTCCAGCACTGCAACTGGAGTGAGCCAAAGACTCTGCCCTAGGCTGGTAGAGAGATTGAAAAACCAGAATATCTGTTGTCCTGATGGCTAATTTTAATTCTCCCTAACTGTGACCCTTTATCATCCATAGAGCTTTATTCAAGACCAACAAGGGCTGACTAATTGGATTTTCTTGGCAGGTAACATTTTTTTACTCTGCCAACTAATCCAGCAGGAAAAAAAAAAAATCCACTGATCTCCTGTGAGAAGAAACAACTAAGAGATGAAAGGCTGGGTTCGCTCTCCCAGCACTCCTGCCAGTGACGACATGTGAAGTATACTGGGGCATACTGCTCATGTACCATGCAGTTGAAGTGGGCACATCATCAGGTTTTCAATTAATGTGAAAGCTAAGTGTGAGCTGCTGGACATTCATAAATATGGAAGAGATGCCCAACATCATCAAATTTAGCCTGATAAAATTTCTGGCTGAAGAAAGGGAACTTCTTGTCTGGTAGATATATATATAAATACATAATATTTATAAATATATATAATATATAAAAAATACCTATATAAGTATATAATAATCTTAGAAGTGTGTGCTCTGATGGACAGGCCAGTGCAATGCTTTTTCCTTGCTCTCTGGCCAATTAGTCTTAAATTCTTTTCTGCAGTGCCATGTTTTTCACAAGATCATCTCATCTCTCCTCCTCCTTCTCCTGCTCCCACAACATTTAAGATTTAGATACTGTTTACAGAGATTAACAGCCTCTTAGGCAGACAGGAATATTGACTATGGGCTGCAAACTTACCTGAGGAGCAGATCAGACTTCAGATGACTTGCAGAGAAAGTGCAGTGCCACACATCACCTTGTAAGTGGTGAGCTGGCTGGGCCTGTGTGGCTGTATCACATTGCCGGCATCATTCATGTCTCCCAAGATGGTTCTCTTCTGGGAGGCTCATAGCTCCTTTAACCTCTCAAGTAAATCCACACCTCAGTTGGTGACCCCTGCATGATGAAGACTTTTTATTTTGACGGAGCCAAGGCTCTGTGAAAGTAAGGAACAGATGCCTATTCTCTTTGCTCCTGAGCTCTCCAACCGGGGTCAGACATAGGTGTCACCTTTCAGTCCCACACAGCACACTTGATGATTAGGATTCCTGCTCTCTAGCACCAAGATGCTGTTCATTTAACATGCTGGCTGCCCCAGGTAGCAAATCTGAGCCATCCAATTTGTCCACCTCACTGCACAGGGAACCTCCGCCTTAATATAGTTTTGCATCCATTCCTGCCAGCTGGGCTCAAAAAGGTGGGAGCCGCAGTGAATAAATGAGTCACCGACTCTTGAGACGGATAGGAAAGAGGAATAGCTGTGCTTTGGATTCTCCAATGTTGATCTTCAGCTAATGTAAATCAACTCTGTTTTGCTGGCATCAGTAGATATGAGATGATTCATGCCATTTATAGTTTCTTCTTACTTACTTACTGCATCTTAATGACTGCCAGGCACAGAAAACACCTGACTAAGGGCATTAGATACAAAGGCTTTATACCCTTAATGTTTTGTTCAGTTAGAGACTAACAAAGAAGACAGCTTTAACTTTGGATGAGAAAGCTAGGCCCCTGAACACTTAGCACTAATAAGGTGCTTTTCAATTTCTAAGTGCTTTACAAACTTTAATTAATTATTCCTTTCAACAACACTTGGTTATTTTCTGTTACTAGAGTGCATGTTTACCAAGTTAGCTCCATTCGCGCACAGCACGTTGTTGGCAGCAGGCAGGAGCATAAATTGATCTATAACCACATGCTGTAATTTACAGCAGATTTGCTTCACCAAACACCATCAGTAGAGCTACAGAGGCAGCTTGGAGGAGTGACCACTCCTCCCCACGTCCTGTGGTGGTGATAACCTTTACCTTCCCTGCTACACCGAGTGGAAACATAAAGCCTGTTTGATGCACAATTTAGCTAATTCCATAGCAACAATTCAAACAGGACCTTCCAGCTTGACACAGCTGCAAAAAGTAGCAAAAAAATTTGTTATGTGTCACACAGAAATACCCAGTACAGAAGCGACACAGAATAGGCAGATTTCTGATAAAACATAAGTGAGGTTGCCACCATGAGACAGCAGAACTTCCTGCAGGCAATAGTTTTTAAAGTTACAAAACATTCCTGGTTTTATCAGGAAGTTGCCAATAACTCAAAAAAAAAAATCCAAAAAAAAACAAAGAAAACACCAAAAGTCCCCCCAAAAATTAACCAACCAAGCAAGAAAAGAAAAAAAAAAAAAAAAACCAAACAAGGAGAATGAGGAATGAGGTATTACTCATCCTAAAACAGCCAAGAGCCCAGTGGGGAGGAAGGTTACCAGAAGACAGGAGTTGGAGTCTCACATTCTGGCTCTGTTCACACCAAAAGACCTGAACCAGTGCTTGGCTTTCTAGCAAAGTAGCCCTAGTCACTGATTTCTTATTTATTTTCACATCCCTGTTTTCCTCTCTCCCCTTATATTGCATGCTAAAGCAGAAGAATGCTTTCTGGCAAAAGTTTTGTCTGAACCTGTATGTTTCCACTGGAAAATGAGTGTTTCAGCAAACTGTGGTAGAAAATAGCACCTATCGCCAAAAGCAAGATAATACCTCTGCAACTGAAAACAGGGTCTTGAGAGGTATTAAGCTATCAGTTTTTAATTAGAGTGGCCCACTGTTTTCCCAGGCACAGGTTTCTGACATAAAAAGCTGAAAGTATCAAGCTGACCAGAACTGCCAGCAGAAACCAGGAACAACTGCTGTACCTCATGCCCACCTCCTCTGCAGGCAATACGCCTCAGGGCACTCAGGCCCTGGTCAACAAGGAGCTGGTGCACAGCAGTCATGAAGCCAAATATTATATGTGCCACAATCTAGTCTCATTGAGTGTTCAGAGCAGCTTGATCTACACTGCCTGCTGCCAGCACTAAGGTGAATCTGTCTGTTCTCTTTCACTTCCAGCTCTCTTTGCTCTGATCAGCTTTAGACAGTGTAATCTGGCACCAATGACATGGCTAGGTACACAACATGAATTAAAATTGTAGCATTGGGAACTAAATCTTTCAGTATCAGTATCCTCCGTTCCAGGAGCCGTAAGGCACACTAAACTTTAATGCCCCAAGATATGCAGTCTAAATAATTAGCTATTGTTTGCCTTGCTCATATTTAGTATGTTTTGTCTGCAGGTAGAGCTACACACAATGGAAACAATCCCATTGTAATCTCTAAACAGAAAGAAAATGTATTGGCAAATGGATTCTTTTGCATGTATAATTTTATCTATACCTGGGCTTTTGTCAACACAGCTATTTTCTCACAGTCCTACTCAGTAAAGCTTTCTACAGTATGAAAGGCCTGAGATTGGTTACTAAGCATTATCTTCTACATGGGTTTTTACAGTCTCCAGCATCTCCTCTGAAAGAATCTCACTATAAGTAATACACAAGTATTTACTGGAATCAGACAGAAAAAATTCAGTCTATTTTCAGCCTGAATAGTTTAAACTGTGCTCTGGGATTCTTTGATGGTTTGTTTGGGAAGAAAACAAAAACCTCTCCTGCTGATGAGCTCTAATTCACTTCCATCTATGCTTGGTACAAAGAAACAGTGAGGTAATCATATATACTTCTGTTGTCTGCTCTGCAAATACACTGAGCTTTCATTTGAGAAAATGGCACATTGCACATCGATGCAAACAAAAGATTTGAGATTATAGTCATTCATCCAAACCAAACACAATAGTCATTCCTTTTCTGAAGAGTTGAGAAACAAGAAAGCCTTTTTTGTTTCATGAAATACGAACATCTCTAGCTGTAGAAGTAAAGTGCAAATTTAATCTTTGGGTAGATTTTTCAGCTTCTAATATATAGCTATATTTCTATTTCAGATTTTGTGAGGATGCAAGCAAATACCATTTTTATGCATGTTAACATTAAATGCCGAAAAAAATCATTAAACCATGTGTCGTATTTTAAAGGATACCTTTTCATTGCTCATATTCATGCACATATCGATATATTTTTATACTGATACACTGTGAAATCTTTATATGTTAAAAGCACAATAATTACTGTAATACCACAGGTGGCTTCAGAATAAATGTTAATAGTATCACATATGTATGTTAAGTAGCTGCTTGTAGAAAATACATTGAGAGTTATACAACAGATACCAACCAGTAATGTGTAGAAGCCCTAACCCTCCCTTACCATTCTATAATTCTACCATAATATCATCAGGAAGGGATAAAGCGGGGTAGTGGTTCATCTCTTCCAATAATCAACCTCTGTTGCTAGCCAGAACCAGATCTTCTAAAGGAAGATGCAAGATGCATGAAAAATGCGGAATTAGATGGCTATAGTTAAAATTTCTTCCCAATATTAATGAGGAAAATACTTGGTTCACACTGTGAAACATGAGGGGGTTTTATTCCTTTCTGAAACTGGGATTAACACCCCTGGCTCCCATACTTTTTAAATAATTCACCTGTGGATGTTCTTTTTATTCAAAATATCCTCAAGTTTTAAAGTTTTGCTACGCTTTTGGTCCCTGTTACATTCCTGGCACTAAAAAATACAAACTAATTCAACGTATACAAAAATTATTTTTTTCCCCACCTTTTGAATTCACTGAATATTATCTATCACCACTTGAGAAATGCAGCCAAATAATACAGCCTTCAAAGTAATAACTTATACAAAAGCATCCAAACCTAAAAGTAATTTTCAACAACGAAAACCTGTGATTTACTCATGTCATGGAAAAGCTTTTTGCCTTTTTATTTTAACTTCTCCGTAAGAGCTGAGAGAGAGCTAGCACTTACCTCTCATGAATTTGTAGGAGAACAGAGCAGGAAAGAGAAAAATATGAAACATGTTCCCTCTTGCACTTCTCCGAATGAGGGTGTTGGACGTGTTTGCAACATAACTAGTTGCAGCCGATTGGCACCAAGCCCTGACAAGCTCCCTCTCTAATAAAGTGTGTTTCTTTCAATACCAAAATCTAACCAGTGGAACTTGCTTGATACATTCTAAATGTAAAACATGTTAAACATCCTAGGCACTGAATATGTGAAAAGATAATTATTCACAGACTCCTAATCAAAGCTTTGTTTCGTGTTATTATTTGTTCGGTTTTACATATTTCCTGCTTATTTGAATGAAAATGGTGTTGGAAATTTTCTCATCTAGCTCAGAGAAGTTAGGCAAGGAGCTGTGCTGCATTCAAAAATGCCTTGGCATAGTGGGTTGTTGAGATTTGGTTGGTTTGGTTTTTCTTTTGGAAAAGTCTGCACTGTTTACCAGGTTGTAAATTATTGATTTATTTTGTGATTTACTTTGCAGCAAATTATATACAAGCTAAATACAGCCTCACTTAAGCTAATTATGATTATGGGGGCTGTAAAGACTCAGAAATAGATAATTGTATTTGTTTGACAAGTACACTGTAAGCCAAATATATACCCCCTTCCACAACACATACTCGCTATTATTGAGTAAATGTAACTTAAAACACATTTAGTTCTTTAACAGTTGCAGTTTCTCTGCCTGTGAAAGCCTTAAGGTGCTATGAAGCAACAGCATGAAAATATTTTAGGTTCTCTTGGCTTGCCTGTAAGGAGAGATCACCCCCATGTTGATGCTGGAACCACAGATGGTCTAAGCCAGCATGACCTCACCACACTTTTTTTCACTGAAAGTCAAAATACTATTAGTAGCCTTTGCCATATGAAACATTGACCAAATTTCTTCCTTTTTCTGTACTTCTTGGGGCCACAGATGTTCCTCGCAAAAACAGTTTCTGAAGGTATGAGCATCTGGATTCCAGACCATTCCACTAGACCAGGTTGCTCAAAGCCCCTTTCAACCTGGCCTTCAAGTGATTGCATCTGGAGCAAATGATCTGAACAGAAATCCAAGTTCTGTTACAGATGCACAATGGTTTTTGGCACTTTGGCTGCTGATGTAGATATAGCTCAGCTAACTTTTAAGCTAACAAGTCAGAATACATAATCTGAAAGTACCTGGGTGGGATTCCCAATCCACAGCTTTCTGTACTTCGTACTTTTACTTCTACACTGCTGTAGGTATCCTACCTGGTTAGTTAGTATCAGCTGCTGACATGCCAACACCTGCGCTACAGATGACACTCTGAAGTATACCTCTACTTTAGGGCATGGGGAAGGACTGGGATTCATAAAATCATAGAATAGTTAGGGTTGGAAAGGACCTTAAGATCACAGATTTCCAACCCCCCTGCCATGGGCAGGGACACCTCACACTAAACCATGTCACGCAAGGCTCTGTCGAACCTGGCCTTGAACACCTCCAGGGATGGAGCATTCACACATTCCTTGGGCAACCCATTCCAGTGAGTCATCACACTTACAGTAAAGAATTTATTCCTTATATCCAATCTAAATTTCCTGTGTTTAAGTTCTAACCCATTACCCCTTGCTGTTTCACTACAGTCCCTAATAGTCCATCCCCAGCATCCCTATAGCCCCCCTTCAGACACTGGAAGGCTGCTATGAGGTCACCACTCAGCCTTTTCTTCTCCAGGCTGAACACCCCCAACTTTCTCAGCCTGTCTTTATATGGGAGGTGCTCCAGTCCCCAGATCATCCTTGTGGCCCTCCTCTGGACTTGTTCCAACAGTTCCATGTCCTTTTTATGTTGAGGACACCAGAACTGCACACAATACTCCAAGTGGGGTCTCATGAGAGCAGAGTAGAGTGGCAGGATCACCTCCTTCGACCTGCTAGTCATTCTCCTTTTGTTGCAGCCCAGGATATAGCTGGCTTTCTGGGCTGCAAGCACACTCTGAAGCCGGCTCATGTTCATTTTCTCATCAACCAACACCCCCAAGTCTTTCCCTGCATGGCTGCTCTGGATCCCTTCTCTGCCCAACCTGTAGCTGTGCCTGGGATTGCTCCGACCCAGGCATAGGACCTTGCACTTGGCATTATTAAACTTCATAAGTTGGCATCAGGCCACCTCACAAGCGTGTCAAAGTGCCACTCGATGGCATTCCTTCCCTCCAGCGTAACAACCAAATCACACAGCTCGGTGTCATCGGCAAACTTGCTGAGGGCACACTCAATCCCTCTGTCCATGTCAGTGACAAAGATGTTAAACAATCCCCGAGGGACACCACTCGTTACTGGTCTCCAGCTGGACATTGAGACATTGACCACACCTCTTTGCATGCGGCCATCCAGCCAGTTCTTTATCCACCAAATTGATGTCTCTCCAATTTACAGACAAGGATGTCGTGTGGGACAGTGTTGAACACTTTGCACAAGTCCAGGTAGATGACATCAACTGCTCTACCCCAGCCCATCAGTTCTGTAGCCCCATCACAGAAAGCAACCAAATTGGTCAGGCAGAATTTCCCCTTAGTGAAGCCATGCTGGCTGTCACCAAGCACCTTGTTGTCTTTCACGTGCCTTAGCATGCCTTCCAGGAGAATATGCTCCAAGATTTTGCCAGGCACAGAGGTGAGACTGACTGGTCTGTAATTCCCCGGTTCACCCATTTTCCCTTTCTTGAAAATGGGGGTTATATTTCCCTTTTTCCAGTCGTTGGGAACTTCACCTGACTGCCATGATTTCTCAAATATGATGGACAGTGGCTTAGCAACTTCATTTGCCAGCTCCTTCAGGACCCGCAGATGGATTTCATCAGGTCACATGGACTTGTGTACATTCAGGTTCTTAAGATGGTCTCAGACCAGATCCTCTCCTACAGTGGGTGCAAGGTCTTCATTTTCACAGTCCCTGTATCTGCCTTCCAAGACTTGGGTGGTGTGGTCAGAGCATTTGCCATTGAAGACTGAGGCAAAGAAGTCATTCAGAACCTCAGCCTTCTCCAAATCCAGGGTAGCCAGTTCTCCTGATAGCTTCCGTAGAGGGACCACGCTGTCCCTAGTCTGTCTTTTATTTGCAATGTACCTATAGAATCCCTTCTTGTTATCTTTCACATCCCTAGTCTTCTAGGGGACTTAGTTTACTTCTAACTGGGCCTTAGCTTTCCTAACCTTGCCCCTAGCTTCCTGGACAACATCCCTGTATTCATCCCAGGCTGCCTGTCCTTGCTTCCACCTTTTATAAGTGTCTTTTTTCTTTTGAATTTTCCTCAGCAGCTCCTTATCCATTCAAGGAGGTCTCCTGGCCCTCCTCCTGCACTTCCTTCTAGTCAGGACGCAACACTCCTGAGCTTGTAGCGGGTGATTCTTGAATATCAACCAACAGTCTTGGGCTCCCCTGCCCTCTAGGGCTATATCCCATGGAACCTTACTAAGCAGGTTCCTGAAGAGGCCAAAGTCTGCTCTCTTGAAATCCAGGGCAGCTTGCTACATGCTCTTCTCACTGTCCTGAGGATCTCAAATTCGACTATCTCATGATCGCTGCATCCAAGGATGCCCTGAAGCATCACATTTCCAACAAGTCCTTCCTTGTTGGTGAGCATGAGGTCATGGCACCCCTCCTTGTGGCCTCCTCTATTACTTGCAGAAGGAAGTTGTCTTCCACACAATCGAGGAACCTCCTGGATTGCTTGTGCCGGGCCGTACCATCACTCCAACAGATGTCAGGGTGGTTGAAGTTCCCCATGAGAACAAGGGCCTGTGAGGCTTTTCCTATCTGTCTATAGAGTGCTTCATCCACAAGTTCTCCTTGATCAGGCGGTCTGTAACAGATCCCCACAGTAATGTCTCCCATAGCTATATTCCCTTTAACCCTGACCCACAAACTCTCTATTTACTGCTCACCTGTCCCCAGACAGAGTTCCATACTCTCCAGCCTATCCCTAACATAAAGGGCAACTCCCCCTCCCCACCTGCCAGGCCTGTCTTTTTCTAAAAAGCCTGTAACCTTCCATTCCAACACTCCAGTCACAGGAGCCATCCCACCATGTTTCTGTGATGCCTATTATAACATACCCCTGTAGATGTGCACACATCTCTAATTCCTCTTGTTTGTTCCCCATGCTATGGGCATTTGTATAGGGGCATCTGAGCCGAGCTCCAAATGAAGCTGGCTCATTGGCTGGAGCGGCTGGGATATCTCTACAGTGCTCCAAGCATTTATTATAGGTGCTGGCAACTGACTGGGCGTGTTGGGATGGAATGATGCCCCCCTCCCCCAACACATCTAGTTTAAGCAACCTTGACCAGTCTGGCAAGCCTCCTACCAAAACCACTCTTCACCTTCCCTCAGCAGCTCCACCAGCCCCCAGTAGACCTGGCCTACTAAACTGAGTCCCATGTTCTAGATACCCAAACCCCTGACTATGGCACCACCTTTCTAACCCTTTATTGACCTGGCCAATCCTCCTAGCCTTTTTAAGATCCTCCCCTTTATCCTGGAGAATTGACGAAAAGACTGAGCTCCAGAGCCCCTAACCACCTCTCCCAGGGCTCTTCTTAATGTTCTTCGGGCTACTGCTATCTATATCGCTAGCACACACATGGATCACCAGAAGTGGGTAATAGTCCGTGGGACTTACTACAGCAGGCACCCTCTCTGTAACATCCCTGATCCATGCCCCTGGTAGGCAACACAACTCCCTTGAGACTGAGTCAGGCCGACAGATGGGTGCCTCTATGCCTTTCAAAGTAGAGTCCCCTACGACTATGACCCGCCACTTTTTTCTGGCAGCACCAGTAGAGACCTTTACTGGTGCACCAGCCGGTTGTTTCTGGTGCGATGGTGTTTCCTCATCAGCCCCCTGCAGAACTGCAAAGCCAGTCTGGGTGGGGACAACAGATTTAGGAGGAAACCCCTTACTTTTAATTGTCCTCTTCCTCCTTTTTTTGTTGTGGTTTTTTGCTTTTTTTTTTTTTTTTTGTTACTATTTCCCAGCTTCCCAGGTTAACGGCCTCTTTCTTTCCTCCATGAGCTACGGGGGACGCTTGGGGTCGGTGCATAGTTTGGGGAGGGAGCAAGCATTCCTGCTTCCTCTCAGCTTCCCTGACATCTTTCAGACTATTAACAGCGCCGCGCAGCTCAGCCACCCGCTGCAGGAGCACCTCCACCAGGGAGCACCG